AACATAGGTTTTAACCGCACCAATCGGAACAACTGTTTTTTGTCTTCCGTGACCTCCGGTGACCTCACGTTTTACCTAAGGTCAAATACTTGAGGTGCATTCTTCACGATTTGGCGAAACCTTTAAAACGATATTTTTGTTTTTCTCATACGGCGTCTGAAAGTTGGAGATCCCACGGGAAAGTCAACTCTTCCCCCCCCCCTCCCCGGCTGGGAGGGGTTGTCTCACACCCCCGGCCGGGTGAGGGTTAAAGTGACAACCGTTCGATTCTGACAAGACATTTTTAGTACCGTCAATAAAGGCGAACGGTTATAGGCATGCGTGTCTTAAAACGGCGACACGTCAATCGAACACGAAATCCTGCCTTGACTCAAACATGGCCACGCTTCGCCGACGTCGCGCTCTTGCCCATATGCACCCATGGCGCGCGTTCCGTTCCACCACTGCAGACACCACCTGCGTGGCGAGCTACACTCCTCGCTCTCCGGTTTTTCCGTGCACTGGGCGTGGGAGATCGCGTGACCCGCGTGACCCGCAGCCCACGCGGCGATAGGTGACGCGTTAAGTGGTGGCTGGGTAAAAACGCTTTCGACCAATTGATCAGATCGGTGTATTTGGCGAGGTTACGGTCGATGTTGGGCAACTTGTACGGCCGCACTGTTTTGAAGCACGCACATTCATTTCTGTATATCGTGATTGACGTCGCCGCCGTTGGCTTGTAAACATTTTATAACTGTCACCTTTCATCATGTTGTGTTGTCCTCGCGTATGAGAGGTTTTTTCTTAAACCGTTGATGCATTGATAGCTTGCGACGGTTTCATTTGAACACAACCGTCTTCCTGGTTTCGCTGAGTCTGAGTTTCATTGGCTTTGAAGGGCTCTGAAGCTTTTACCATTTTAGGGTCATGTAATGAGGAATAAAGAGGTGGGTGGAGGAGGGGGTGGGGTAGAGGAAAAAAGTCTGACGATTGTAGGGGATTTCCGCTAACGACTCTTACAGGAACCCATTTTTTGAGGTTTGTGGTTGGTGTGGATGCTCAAATGAGCAGCGTTCCTGCTCCTGGCAAGGCCAACGCGCCAGCTGAAGGCTGACGGACCCAGGTCACGGAGGCTGACACGGCGGCCAGCTGAGGCGGCCAGCTGAAGGCTGACGGACCCAGGTCACGGAGGCTGACACGCCAGCTGAAAGCTGACAGACCCATGTCTCGGAGGCTGACATGCCAGCTGAAGGCTGACGGCCCAGTTTGCCCTGGAAGGCCATAGCGTTGAGGAAGGACTGAAGAGCGGATGATGAGAATCGCTTTTTAGAGAAGTTTTAGTTGGAACCGACGCGGCATATTAAGGCTGTTAGTCCAAGTTCCTGTAATATATCATTTTTTCATTGTATATAAATAAGTAAATATATATATATATATATATATATATATATATCTCTCTCTCTCTCTCTCTCTCTCTCTCTCTCTCTCTCTCTTCGAAGAAGTTATAACTTCAGTCAGTAATTTGGCGTATATATATATATATATATACGCCAAATTACTGACTGAAGTTATAACTTCTTCGAAAGATACGAAGGTGCCTCGACAATTATGCAGCACGCCAGTCCTATGCAATTACGTAGCTCAGACAATGTCCCTTTGAAGATCTCATTTTCTCTTTTCAGCGGAATTTAAACGTCAAGGAAGGCAGTAGTTATTTGATGCCTAGCATACCTCGGAAGAGTGGATCAAGCGGTTACTGTATATTTGTGGCGCAGTGCTTTGTCTCCAACCGCATCCACCCAGTTGTCCATGAAGCTAACGTGCTGATGTTCCGTTTAAGCATTCAAGTGTGCATACGGTTCATCTGCCGGCCCCAGCAGCAGGAAACTGAACTTTGTACATCGGTCGTACTTCTGCTCAATGAATGTCACTGTAAGCTGGCGTCTGAGAGAGAAACAGCTTAATTACGTCATTTTCGTAAATCAGCTGCGTAATTTACACCCGTAATTGGACAGCGTGAGCAGAGCCTGACAGTGGCTCTTTTACTTATCATATTTCGGGTGGGAGAGAGCATATTTCGGCTCTTCCCCCTCCCCCCCCCCACACACACACTCCACCGCGTCCCCACCCACATCCATTGGACTTTTTGCGAGTACTCCCGAGCGTACTAGCGAAAGTACTAGCACTAATACTAGGACCTTCACTAATACTCCCTTTTACGCGTTAGATATACACGACACGTACAGGTGTAGTTCAAGGCCAAATATTAGGAAGAACTTCCAAAGAATTAAGCGATCATGCCAAGATTGCAAAAGGTCTAAAATATATTTGAGAGGAACATTATGCACGCAAATAAGACAGTAGTAATAGTTTTATGCTTCGGAGAAAAACCAGGAGAATGGAGATATAGATTCGTTGATATTTCGGCAACATGCCTTTAGCGAAACGAATAGCAGAAGTGGTAAACGCATGTATATGTCCAACGCAAGCAAACGCATCTATATACCCATTTTGCGGGTTTTCTCCGCGGAATAATGCTATTATTACTGCCTTATTATGCCAAGACGGCGATCTCCGGTGGATTAGATGCACTGCCTTGTGTTTATGTAAGTAACTGGCACTTGCAGTGAGATGAAACAACTGCGGCACGAACATGGTTATTGCGATATAACCAGAGTGGCATGGCGAAGGCTGTTCCAGGGCTCAAAATGACGCATTTGTAAACAGCGCGGAGTGGATTATGAGCTGCTAAAACAGGTAGGTTAGGAACACTAGTCGACGCCTACAGGCAAAGTTTTGCACTTCAGCCAATATTCACAGGACCAGTTCATAAATATGCTTCAGGCTGTGCGAGACTCTAGGCGTGTTCACAAAGTTGTGTTCGGTTTGTGCATGGATGTGCGAGCAGGAAAATAGTCATAAAGGTATACCTAAATTACGATAGAATTAATGGTTTGCGCGTGATAAGATGTGCACAGCTAAATATGGAGAAAGGGACAGACAGTTTTTGTATAGAGGTAGCACTGGAGATGGGATGTAAGGGAGAGAACCTATAACTTTTGGGACATGAATGCCTGAAATGTACGTTCCATTTTATTCTTCATATCTGTGCAGTGAACAGCTTCAAAAGACTACGTATACCGGCGAGTTCAGGAACGATAAGAAGGGTAGGATTGCAGCACGAGACGAGCGCGACCACGCACGGCCGGCCGTCAGGCGAGGACTGCGCTAATGGGCCATACGTCAGCCACTTATCCTTTGTTACTCCGCCTCCTTTAGGAGGCTTAATACGCCCATGACCCATGGCCACACGTCATGTAGGCACTCAACGTAACTTACAGCGTAAATCAGCATTGTAGGTGACAATACTGTTTGTTACTTGCCTAGCCTGTTCTTTTCACTACTTCACCAAACTTTGCTCCGTGTATGACAAAAATGTAACTAGAAGACCCTTTCTGGACAGCGAAGCAAATCATTATCCCATTTGGTGCGTGTATACTAGACTAAAGAGCCGTGTTGACGATGTAGTCACCGTTTTTTATCACCTTTGCCCATTGGGTTTAAATTTTAAATGTCGCTTTCATATGTGAATTCCAAAAGATATGGATTTGCGTTTGTCACATCAAAGCCAGTTAAGGAACGTAATTGCGTTTTTCGCCCCTCTGTAGCCTATTCTAAAATTGTCTGGATTATTTTTCTAGGATTAAACATCTCATCAAAAATAATTGAACGCCGTTTTTCTTTGTGTAATCAGCCAAGTAGTTCTCGAGATCTATGAGGGAGCGGTGTGGAGTGGGATCAGTTTCCTCCTGACAAGGCGGGGGCATGGGGAGCCCGCCCAAGATAGATGGTAGCTCTCACCGCAAAGCTGACGACATGCTAACAAAATCGCGGCCGGCCATCTCTAAACTCCATCTCGAATCATGTCGCTTAGAAATAATAAAGCATCCAATGGTTTAGTATTCATTTGGTAGTGCCCGCAAAACCCAATCGTATGAACTAAACCCACCGCCCAGCACCCCACAGACTGTGCCACGAACACGCCTGAAGTCTCGCTCACCTCATTCATCCGCTTTAACCTTAACTCATCCGTTTTAACGCGGCTATCGGGGGCTGACGTGTAATTCGATGAGACGGGGCAAATTATCATGGTCATGCTATGGTATCACTCAGGTGCTGTACGCGGACACCGTCAGGTTAGAGCTGGACCAATAACACGCATCGACACGACATGACCGGTTCGCGTCGCGGTGGGGTCTCGGTATAACACGCGCTCCCTCGGCGTTCGACCAGCTCGTGGTTGTTGTGGCACATGACTGAAGCTCATCTCGCTTCACGGTGCCTGATCTCCAGCGCCAGGGCAGGCCGCAGCTCTTAGAAGCTGCGGTGACTGAAGCTCATCTCGCTTCACGGTGCCTGACCTCCAGCGCCAGGGCAGGCCACAGCTCTTAGAAGCTCCGGTGACTGAAGCTCATCTCGCTTCACGGTGCCTGATCTCCAGGCGCCAGGGTCAGGCCACAGCTCTTAGAAGCTCCGGTGACTGAAGCTCATCTCGCTTCACGGTGCCTGATCTCCAGCGCCAGGGCAGGCCACAGCTCTTAGAAGCTCCGGTGACTGAAGCTCATCTCGCTTCACGGTGCCTGATCTCCAGCGCCAGGGCAGGCCACAGCTCTTAGAAGCTCCGGATGCTTTGTGTACAACACTGACGCGCGGTAATGTTTTACCGGAAGCACGACTTTCCTGCTGGCGAGAGCCGGTAGGCGGGGTAAGGGGCTGTCGCTCGCCTCGGCCTCTGAGTACGGACACGTTTGTCACTGTTGCGGACACTAGTCTGAGTACGGACCCTATTGGCATTATTGACACTATTCTGGGTACGGACTCTAATAACATTATTACCGACGCTATTCTGAGTACGGACACTATTGACATAATTACGGACACTATTCTGAATACGGACACTATTGACACAATTACGGACACTTTTCTGAGCACGAACACTATTCGCTGGCCGTACTCGACAGGTGACGCTGTACATGCTGCTAGCGCTGGAGCGGATCCTGGACAAGCTTGAGAGGCGCATCATCCTTGACGAACTGCTGCCGCTACTTTGGGACGTGCGACTGCAAGACCCAGACATCATTCAGGCTGCCGTCAGTAAGTGGCACATCCTCCAGCGGCGTCAGGTGCTGGACTGCTGCGGCTAAGTGATCCATCTTCCAATAATCTGACATGATGTGAGGTGCAGGTGTGGAACTATTTTTGTGTGTGTTTGTCGCACAACTAATTAAGACTAATGACGTCGGGAACGACGTGCGCGGAGAAGATTGGTACTGGGTGGTGTGTGTAAACTAACCTCTGACGAAGCTGCGGGCCCCGCCCCTAATTTATGCATTATTTTGCATAAACCACTTCAGAGTTTAACTGCAATTTCTGAGGAAACTATTCCATTATGTGTGTTGTCTGTTCCAAATGAAATTAAGGGGAGTGAACTGTGTTTCCACGGGTGCCTTCATGGTGACGTTGATATGGATTTTTGCGGGGTCATCAAAAGCGGACTTTCTGGAGAAAACCCAAAGTCCGTGCTGGGGGCCATCGATTTATCCTGAGTCTTAAAGTATTTTTATCTAGGTTTCGTATGTTATATGGGTGTGCGGACATGTTATAGTCAGGAGCACAACGTATACGGTTGAAAGGGATGACGCCAAAATTGCACATACAACTGGTTCTATGTTGGTGGCGATGTACGGCACACATTCACGTCCATTCGATGCTGGTGTTGGTCTCGTTGCACGCGAAAGGGAGGCCTGTTGTGACCATTTAGCAGGAAGATGCTTTTTGCATGTGTTGGAGAGAGTTTGTGTGGAAATGTCAAGCCCTCGAAAGCATGCCGAAGAGAGCAATAAATTGGTCGTCCCCACAAGAAGCAGGAGACCGCCAATAGACGCAGGCAATGAAAGGTTACAAAAACTTGTTACGTCACTTTGCGCGTCAACAAGGTGTAAAGCATTGCTATGTAACTGGAGGCGGTGCTATTCCACGCTGACGGCGTCGCAATTTTATGCTTTTGCAAGAAGCGGGCCCGTGCTAATCATGCAACAAGAAGGGGCCGCTTGAATACCACAATATAAATGCAGATTAGCAATCTGGAACCGGCCAGCCGTTGCTATGTTCACGTGTGCGTCCCAGGTTTGCGATTTCCGTGGGGTAGAACGCCATCCCACAACTTAAATACAAGTAGCCTTACGTTGCTAACATGCCTGCGCGCTCCCTCCAGACGTTTACAGGGTGATGTTGACAGACAACAAGAAGTATGGACTCAGCGTGAACCTGATGGCCACTCGGGTCATGCCGTCCTTGCTGCCTCTTACCATGAACGCGGCGCTGCACCTGGACCAGTTTACCAGCCTGGTGGAGGTGCTGCAGGAGATGCTGGACACCATTGACAAGTACGCTGCTGTGTTCTTCCAAATGTGCTTGTTCCGATACACATTGTGAAATCGTTGCAAACTGTCGTTTAGGCCCCCTTTGTGCAATGGTTTTAAACCTTCAATATTGCAAGTTCACAAACACTTGCTTCATGACTAGATGAAAGGTCTCCTGTTGAGTAAGCGATCTTTGATATACCAAGCGTAGATATACAAAGTAAGATATACAAAGTAAGCGATCTTTGATATACCAGCACGCGCTCGGGTGGGGGTGGGTGTCAAATTGACCCCCCACCCGAAGGTTTTTCCAATATGGTTTCCGAACGGCGTGGCGCAGTCGCGCCAAATTTAGCATAGCTGTAGACAATTGAATAGCAGATCGTTTAGCATAACACATTTAGATGTACCTTGTAAGGTCGATTGCCTATGGCAGATCAAAGTTAGGCCATGGTGTCAGCAAAGTCAATTTCTAGGGAATGGTTCAATTTGATGCAACAACGGGGTGTTAGACGAAGTCATACATCTCTGAGATGCTTTCTTAGGCGACACAAGTATTGAATGAGCAAATTGCGTTGACCTAAGGTCAGGTATAAATGTCAGACCAAAGTCAAAATCAACCTATTTTATTACTCTAGGGCTTGCAGTATGGAATAGATTATGGTGCTCATTTCGAAGTTATTGATAGCAGGAACCGCATTATACATCTTCCATGGACTTCTTAGAGGTCAGAATAGCTCATTGGCATAAAGTGGCCCGGGTCAACATTTTGTTTTTAGAAGCATACTGCCCAGCGTAACCGTTGTCACTTATTCAAATGCAAAATTTAGAGCAGTCTTGTATGATTTTGGTTACCATGACCTTCAAAAGGTCAAACAAGGTCACCTTAACTGAGCATGTGACTTTTGCTCCGAAACAGATACCTAGGTTCGGGAGGCACTTTGGAGACCAACCAGGAGATTGACCTTATTTGTCCCGCAGGTCATGACCTAGGAACCTCCAACTTTGATCTAACTGAGTTCACGTACAGACCAACACACGCTGTAAATTTAGTGTCTCTAGCTCTCTTGGTTCCCGAGATCTCCGGGGGTCAAATTGACCGCCCACCCGAGCAAAGGGTATCTAGCTGGCCCCCGGCGCACGTGTTAAACGACGTTGTAATGGCGCCTGGCAATGGTATTGACGGTACTCGATGTTTAGAGCCGCGGACATCCTCAAGAGCGATACTCTCCTGAGGACATCAGCAGCTTGAGATACTGAGTGCCGTCAATATAATTGTTGGTTACCATTACAAGGTCGTTTAAACTAGTACCTCCCTGGTATATTGAAGGCCCTTAACATCAGACCTTTCAGCTTGTAAACCAATTTTGAGGAGCATTTTGGTGCGCTGGGCGTACTCCTCACGGCCAAATATACCGTTTCGAGTTAAATGTGAATATCGGTATGGATTGTGTTGATACGTGTACTGTGGCAACGTGATGTGTTGAGGTATTTTCAATACGACTCTACTTTCACCCAAATCTGCACTTTGATTAATGCGTCTCACGTCCCTTCAGAACATCTTTGTTATGATACAAAACAAGAATAAGCGAATCAGTCTTTGCAAACGAACGACAGCACATCCGTTTTTCTACCGCGTTTTCAAGAAAAGTTTCCATGCATTTTTGTGGTGGAGAGTACACAGTGGAGGATTCTTAGCTCGTGACCATCGTGAGATATTGTCGTCAGGGTGCTGATCTGCGGATCATTATATGTTAACAACCATTAATTCCCGTTTTCGCGGCCAGTTTCCATTCCCATTTGACTTGGGTTGTCTGTCTTCTTGCTGTCCAGGATACCTGATTGCACAACATTTGCAATAAGCCCATCGCAGGGAGTGTGGGCGTTTGGTGCTGTGGGCGGGATGGTGGGGGGGGGGGTGGGGGGGGGGGGGGCACGGTGCGTGCGTGGGAGGCCGCCGCTGGTATCAGCGTCGCCGGCTGTCGCGGTCACCCTCCTCACAAGAGTAACTTTATGGTGAGGAGTCCATTGGTCAGCATACGAGTCAGATGATGTTAAGATGTTGAGCACAACTCGGCACGTGAAGACTGCGGCACACCCGACAGTAACACACATGTGAGACTGGGGCACAACCCGACAGTAACACACATGTGAAGACTGCGGCACACCCGACAGCAACACACATGTGAAGACTGCGGCACACCCGACAGTAACACACATGTGAAGACTGCGGCACACCCGACAGTAACCACATGTGAAGACTGCGGCACACCCACAGTAACACACATGTGAAGACTGCGGCACACCCGACAGTAACACACATGTGAAGACTGCGGCACACCCGACAGTAACACACTGTGAAGACTGCGGCACACCCGACAGTAACACACGTGGACTGCGGCACACCCGACAGTAACACACAGTGAACTGCGGCACACCCGACAGTAACACACATGTGAAGACTGCGGCCACACCCGACAGTACACACATGTGAAGACTGCGGCACACCCGACAGTAACACACATGTGAAGACTGCGGCACACCCGACAGTAACACACACGTGAAGACTGCGGCACACCCGACAGCATCACACATGTGAAGACTGCGGCACACCCGACAGTAACACACATGAAGACTGCGGCAACCCGACAGTAACACACATGTGAAGACTGCGCACACCCGACAGTAACACACACGTGAAGACGCGGCACACCCGAAGTAACACACATGTGAAGACTGCGGCACACCCGACAGTACACACCGTGAAGACGCGGCACCACGACAGTAACACACATGTGAAGACTGCGGCACACCCGACAGTAACACACATGTGAAGACTGCGGCACACCCGACAGTAACACACACGTGAAGACTGCGGCACACCCGACAGTAACACACATGTGAAGACTGCGGCACACCCGACAGTAACACACATGTGAAGACTGCGGCACACCCGACAGTAACACACACGTGAAGACTGCGGCACACCCGACAGTAACACCATGTGAAGACTGCGGCACACCCGACAGTAACACACCGTGAAGACTGCGGCACACCCGACAGTAACACACACGTGAAGACTGCGGCACACCCGACAGTAACACACACGTGAAGACTGCGGCACACCCGACAGTAACACACATGAAGACTGCGGCACACCCGACAGTAACACACACGTGAAGACTGCGGCACACCCGACAGTAACACACTGAAGACTGCGGCACACCCCACAGTAACACACATGTGAACTGCGGCACACCCGACAGTAACACACGCGAGACTGCGGCACACCCGACAGTAACACACGTGAAGACTGCGGCACACCCGACGTAACACACATGTGAAGACTGCGGCACCCCGACAGTAACACACACGTGAAGACTGCGGCACACCCGAAGTAACACACATGTGAAGACTGCGGCACACCCGACAGTAACACACATGCGAGCCACAGGGCTGAAGCGGAGCGGGTGGCAAGGCTATTGGCGGGACAGTAGGCCCGATCAGGCACCATAGACGGCTGTCTTCCCGTAATGGTCCGATCAGGCACCAGAGGCGGCTGTCTTCCCGTAAAGGTCCGATCAGGCACCAGAGGCGGCTGTCTTCCCGTAAACGCTTTTGCGTTCGTAACCACGGTATCCAATACCCATTGTTTAGCTGGTGATAATATTTAAGAGGGGTGTAAACGGAACCAGATGCATTAATCTGAACTACCTGTCCGGAATCCTTAAGCACGTCCAAACTGGCAGGGATCACAGCAAGGATCCTAGGCAACCGACGAATTACACAGGCAAGGGCCCGCACGATATCGACCATCGGGAGCCCCACGTCTCCAACTAATCCACATAGAGTTTATGCATTCGGTGCCCCGTCACATTCGCTCCTAGCATGCACATTGATTGGCGCCCACGTCAACCCACTCATTCATGGTTCGCATACGGATAGGACCCCCCCCCCCCCCCACTCCCGTTTCCCTGTCCAGAGCCTTGGTGTTGCTATTGTTACTTCTGCGCTAGTCCTCGTTGAGTGAATTTGAATTTCATTAAATGCATTTCAATCAGCTGAAGAAAACACATTTAGGACCGATATGAAAATATAGGACATAAACGTGTATAAATGGGTAGCTATTCATAAACGTGACTTCACTGAATGTTTGAAATGCACGAAAAAATTTAATTCAGCTAATTATGCCGCACCGTTTGGTATTTGTTTTAGAAAACCTTGGGAGGAACAAATTAATCTCCCACCTCCAGGGCGTGCTTAAGTGTTCTTTTTTATTTATTTGAGTTCTTTGAGTCATGACGACTGATATGCGTCAAATGACCACTAAACGATTTTTACTTTCTCGTTGAGCAAGGACGGTAACACGGCCTAACTCTGGTTCAGATATTGAGACCGGCTTTCATGCCAGTCGCGTGGATCTTGTTGATCCCTATGAGAACCGCTATTCCACGAGAAAATCCGTCCGTTATTTCCGGAATTTTTGGTATTACATGCCAAACTCATAGAAAACGGACGTGGTCAATCATTGGACCTGTGTGATGTGCTCAAAAGACACATGGTGACATTATCGTAGCACCGCTCACTGGAGTGGCAATACTGATGCTCGTCGTCACCGGGCTCGTCCAGCCCTAACTAAGGCATCCTTCTGGCGATGTAATCACCGCTCACTGGAGTGGCAATACTGATACTCGTCGTCACCGGGCTCGTCCAGCCCTAACTAAGGCATCCTTCTGGCGATATAATCACCGCTCACTGGAGTGGCAATACTGATACTCGTCGTCACCGGGCTCGTCCAGCCCTAACTAAGGCATCCTTCTGGCGATGTAATCACCGCTCACTGGAGTGGCAATACTGATACCCGTCGTCACCGGGCTAGTCCAGCCCTAACTAAGGCATCCTTCTGGCGATGTAATCACCGCTCACTGGAGTGGCAATACTGATGCTCGTCGTCACCGGGCTCGTCCAGCCCTAACTAAGGCATCCTTCTGGCGATGTAATCTGGTACATCTCGCCATTTCGCG